AGTCATGTGAAAAAGTTAGGACACCCTATTGAATTCCATGGTTTTCTGTATCAGGAAATAATAAAAAAATTATCTGGTCCTTGGCATGTCTTAAATTTAGGAAAATAAAACCTCAGATAAACAACAACACATGACATATTTCACTGTGTCATTATTTATTTAACAAAAATAAAGCCAAGACGGAAAAGCCATGTGTGACAAAATTAGGACACCCTATGATTAAATTGCCTGTAGATCCACTTTTAGAAGCAATAACTTGAAGTAATCATTTTCTGTATGACTTTATCAGTCTTTCACATCGTTCCGGAGGAATTGTGGCTCACTCTTCTTTACAACATTGCTCAGGTTTATTGAGGTTTGTGGGCATTTGTTTATGCACAGCTCTCGCCACAGCATTTCAGTCAGGATGAGGTCTGGACTTTGACTGGACTGCTGCAACCCCTTGATTCTTTTATTTTCAGCCGTTCTGTTGTAGATTTCCTGGTGTGCTTGGGATCATTATCCTGTTGCATGACCCAATTTTGGCCCAACTTTAGCTGTCGGACGGATGGAGTTCATGGTTGATTCAATGACTGTGAGGTGCCCAGGTCCTGTGGCTACAAGACAAGCCCAAAATCATCAGCCCTCCACCAGCATGCTTGACTTTTGGCATGAGGTGTGTGTGCTGATATGCCCTTTAGGTTTTCACTAAACATGGCACTGTGCATTATGGCCAAACATCTTCACTTTGGTCTCATCTGTTCAAAGGACATTGTTCTAGAAGTCTTATGGTTTGTTCAGAAGCAACTTTGCAAACCTAAACCGTGCTGCCATGTTTATTTAGAGAGAAGAGGCTTTCTTATGGCAAGCCTTCCAAATATGCCATACACTTGTCCCATATTTTTCTAATTGAACTGTCATGAACTTTATCATTTAACATGTTAACTGAGGCCTGTAGAGTCTGCGGTGAAATTATTGGGTTGTCTGCCATTTCTCTGAGCATTACACGGTCTGTTCTTGGGGTGAATTTCCTGGGACACCCACTTCTGGGAGGATTGGTGTCTGTTTGTCTTCCACTTGCGAATAAACTTCCTCACTGTAGAATGATGGACTTCAAATTGTTTGGAAATGGCCATTTTACTCTTCTCAGATTGATGGCAGAAACAATTGCTTGATCATTGCTGATATCTTTCCTTCTTGGCATTGTGTTAACACACACCTGAAGGCTCCAGACCAGCAAACTGCCAAAACTTCTGCTTTTATAGAGCTGCTCACACTTGCCGATGATCTGTTAATTAATGATTAACAGTGCCTGACCGTTACTTACCCTCTTAATTCCTATGTTAACAGAAAGGTCCTAATTTTGTCACACATGGCTTTTCCATCTTGGCTTTTTTTTGCTAAAAAAAACAATGACCCAGTGCAATATGTCGTGTTGTTGTTCATCTGAGGATTTATTATCCTAAATTTAAGACATGCCAAGGACCAGATATTTTTTTTATGGTGCCCTGACACAGAAAACCATGGAATTCAATAGGGTGTCCTAACTTTTTCACATGACTATATATACAGTGGGTACTGTACATGTATAATACATACGTTTTATATTTAAAAAAAATAGTTTTTGTTATGTAAACATTAGTATCTCTTTATTAATCACTTATTCAACATATATGAAGGGCCACTCAAATTTCAGTGCACAGTTAAATATATATACAGATTTGGCACTAACAGGTCAAATATTTGATATGTGGGAAATACCTTCTAGTAGTAGAATTGGAGTCCAGGCTCTCCAAATGATTTGAAATCTCAACTATATATTTCCAAGGAGAGCCTTTTAAATTGCATTTGCCTGAATTAGTTTCTAAATTGGGTCGAGTGGGATTGTTAGCCGAGCTTCAGGATTTTTGTTCAGTAAAATGTTTCAGACGAAAAGGATTTTGAAAGAGGACAGGACTACGTAATTATAGGTACAGTAAAAGAAAGTATGATGGAAAGTGAGCCCATCACTAACTGTAACAGTGCAAAAATACCATATACAGATTTATTTTTTTTAAATGTAATATATACTGTATATCGTCACCTTGCAATTATAAGGTTCTATCTCCCATTTTTGTCAAAATTGAATTATTAACATATTCTTATTCTGTGACAACTTACTTATATTAGGTGATTTTTTTTTTTAAAGTTGTGTACATTTTGGGACTGATGTATGAAAGAGACGTGTTCCCCATATCACTATATTGAATTCAAAAACTATGAAGCTCAATATCTCGAAACTGCTCAGAATGCAGATAGAATATTATAATTCCAAGGTGACTATATATATATATATATATATATATATATATACACACATATATTTCGATAGATAGATAGATAGATAGATGATAGATAGATAAGGGTATATTATTAATAAAAGGGCATTAATATAAATATGGTTCCAGTCCCTATGTATATAGCTGAAATGCCTTTAGTGTGAAAGCACATTGCGAACAGCTGCACACTTATATACTGCCTTTGCATGTGGTATTGACCAAAGGTCACTGCATGTTCACATCGAACTCACTGAATGCGTCCACTGAAATACCCACACTGAAATCCAAGCACTGAGGGATACATTTCTCAGTGCGTAAATCTAAAGTTCTTCGGGTCATGTTAAAGTAGCTAAGAGACAAAAGAGAAAGGAATGGATGGAGAAAGAGAGAGAGTGAAAGAGAGATGTGCTGAACTGCCCTGTAATCCCCCAAACGAAGGAGTTTGATTCACAACCTGCACTTGTCAGATCCAGCTGAGCAGTAGTGATTGAACGGCCTTTAATTAAGAGAGCTGCAGGTGCACACACACACACACTGAGTTTAGCTGTTGTCCCGCTGGACTAATGACTCTGTTTAGCTGTGCAGAGCAGAAAACAGCCCTCGGACTTTAGCATCAATCTTCACAGCCATTTGTTTTACTGACCACAGAGTGAATTGTGATCAACTGAGCCGTGCGCTTTCATTTTTCTCAGTTTCACAGAGCTTGTCAGCTCACAACAGAAACATAATACGGCAGACAAGGTGTGACTACTGTGCAACTGCTCTGGAATAAATGCACCTCATGAACACATTCATGCAAACACTCGCATGCCGTTTTAATATTGCTGGCAGGTTCTGACAGATTTATAACATCTGGGGTGACTGAAGAACTGGACATTGAACATGGCAATAGAATAAGCAATCTGCATAAAGAAACAACTGCTATTTTCCTTTGCTAGACTACTGAGCAAGGGATGAGAATCAAGACACAGCTCTTACTGAGAATTGTTATGGATTGATTTTCATGACGTTTGTTTCCATTAATGGAATGTCTGCATTTTTTTCACACTTTAATGCATGTAATATTTAATATATGCATCAGAGCCTTGAAATGATGTGCTTTGGATCATACAATTACAATTAATTAATATAAATGTTATAATGCTATAATAATATAAAAAGAAAATGAATACTCTCTCAATTTAATACAAAAATATTTAATATTAAAATAATTTAAAATAAATATTAAAAAATGTTTTCATTTTACTGGAATATTTTTTTAATTAACTTTTTTTAAAGTAAATTCATACTGATTATTAATGATCATGATGAAGATGAATGTGATTAATAATAACAACAACAACAGTAATAATAATAATTATTATTATTATTATAATCATTAAATAATCATCATCAAAAATAAGCAATACTAAAACTACTCTACTACAATATTCACTGAATACAATTTATTTCAATTTGCTGTGGAATAATGCATTTAGACAATTTTTTTAATTTAAACATTACATTTTTTAATTTTACTTGATTTTTTTATTTAACTTTTTGGGCTATTTTTAAAGAAAATTCATACGGATTAGTTTTGATGAAGAAAATTGTTATTATTTTCATCATCATCATCATCAAAAATAATCAATACTAAAACTACGCAAGACCTCAAGAAATACAAACAAGAACTGCATATATGATTTGTTATTACTGTTCTGTTAAAACCTCAAATTTATCTCACAATCTCACAACAGGTTAAACAAAGCCCATGCTTATTTAAAATAGCAGATGAGTAATGAACGAACCGGCATCAATCCTAAACTCTCATCCTTATACTGGGCCGATGAGTATAGTAACATACCCGCCGCTGACTCTGTGACATCAGCATCTTTATGCTCCACTGTTTCCTCAGTGTCATCAGATGTTTTCTTCTCAAGCAGTTCAGGCACACAGAAGTCCACCTGATTCTCCAAAGGACACATGTAATGGATCAGATCACCTTTGTATATCTCCAGGAATGGGTACGCATTCAGACACCTTTCCTAAGAAGAAAAAAGAGAGAAAGATGATTAATGTTGCATACTCACAATGTCACAAGTCATGCATACATACTGCAGTCCTGCAGTGCTGAAACCACAGAGGAATGAATGAATAATGAATGAAATTCTCATTTAAATATATAAAGAAATGAAAGACTTGTGAAAATTGTTAGGTTTTTTTTTGTTTTTTGTTTTTTGAGTCCATTGGAAAAAAACTTTCCTGCATTTTAACTGTAAATTTCTCATGCATTTCAACTCCATCCACAGAGGCTATTAAACTGTTGGCCAACATGATTCGGCTATTATAATCATTTTTGGCAACATAATAACTATATAAACAACAAAACATGGGTTGAAAAATTAGTGGTGGCACCAAGTTATTTTCTCTTTAATACATTCAGTAGTTGTTAGAAAGGCAGAGTTCTGTGTGCATGCGCTATTTTACATCTGTCGTCATCAGCAGAAAGACTGATTCAGCAGAAGGTGCGAGCGGGACTGTGTGTGTGCAAAGTGTGCGTCAATAAGCAAATACCACACACATCCATACACACTTGTAAGCTGTGAAGCCTGTGTGCTGCTGTGTTATGCATCACCAAGGATTGTAAGCAATAAACCCTTTTTGCTTGAAACTGATCGAATCTAGTGTGTTCTAACCGACACCCCATTGAGGAAAGCTAGATAGAACCTTCTATTAATACATTCCAACCTTTCAGTCCTGCTATCGCACAGTATTAATTATTTCTGTTCATTATTGCTAAGAAGGGAATGACACTGTCCTCTGCAAAAGACCTTCAATGATGTCCCACCTCATTAGAATCAAACTTAGGTCAGACCTTTACTGATCAAACACACCAGCCTTTTGACAAATTTGCAGCTGGACTAGGCAGGAGTTTACACCAATTAGTCTGCATTTAATGAAGCGGCCTCATTAGGGATAAGACCAAATGCCACTGTAATGATCTCAAAGAACAATGCAAAACAGCAAGCTGATCAAGCTGTTGCGCAAATAAAATCGCTAAGCGTGAAATCATGAACTAAAGTTAAGACATTCGGGACTATTATATTTAGATAGAACAGCTCTAGCATGTTTAAGCAAGAGGTCAAACACATTTAGATGTGAATAAACCACTGTCACTTGTTTTATTTTTAGATGTCATATAATAATGTATATCATAAAGCTCACATGTAACCAACAACTAGAAGCTTATTGTTTCAGAATACATTCAAATAAGAATAAAGTAAGAATATATGAATATTGGATATGACATGCCATAAAACATCATTAAGGTTTCCCCATATAGAATCAGAATACATGTGCAGAAAATTCTTTGCAATGTATGGTAATAAAAATGCAGATGCTATAGCAACATCTGACAGAGCTGCAATATTCTTTTGCACTGTGAATGATTTGAAATATATTTATATACATGGAGGATGTTATGTCCCACCGAGCCCTCAGGATAGAACTGTGCTTCCATAATAGTACTGCCTCTTCATGCTGAGAGCTTTGTTTTGATACAGTAACGCCGTTTAAGGCCCATAGAAATTACAAGTGCCATAATAAAACAAGGTACAGATGGAAACAAACACATATGTACAAATATGCACAGGTGAACCTAACAGACACACGCTATTCATTAACAGAATAACTTGATAAGATTTTAAACAATCATTATAAAACCATTACATTTTCTTACAGAGACAAACCGTTTAAGTGGCAAAATGTTAAAGGAACACTCCACTATTTTTGAAAATAGGCTCATTTTCCAACTCCCCTAGAGTTAAACAGTTGAGTTTTACCGTTTTCGAATCCATTCAGCCGATCTCCAGTTCTGGCGGTAGCACTTTTAGCTGTAGCTTAGCATAGATCATTGAATCTGATTAGACCGTTAGCATCTTGCTCAAAAATGACCAAAGAGTTTCTATATTTTTCCTATTTAAAACTTGACTCTTCTGTAGTTACATCGTGTACTAAGACTGACAAAAAATGAAAAGTTGCGATTTTCTAGGCCGCTATGGCTAGGAACTATACTCTCATTCCAGCGTAATAATCAAGGAACTTTGCTGCCGTACCATGGGTGCAGCAGGCGCAATGATATTACGCAGCTGCAGAAGAGTCAAGAATTATGTAACTACAGAAGAGTCCAGTTTTAAATAGGAAAAATATAGAAACTCTTTTGAGCGAGATGCTAATGGTCTAATCAGATTCAATGATCTATGCTAAGCTACAGCTAAAAGTGCTACCGCCAGACCTGGAGATCGGCTGAATGGATTTGAAAACGGTAAAACTCAACTGTTTAACTCAAGGGCAGTTGGAAAATGAGCCTATTTTCAAAAATAGTGCAGTGTTCCTTTAAAGAACCGAAAAATATTAGTCTGAATAATCATTTTTATTAAATTTTATGAAAACAAATTCAGGTTACACTTTATTTTACGGTGTCCTTGTTACAGTGAATTGAAAAAAAAATTAAGTTATATTAATTAACTACATGTACTTACTATATGGTTAGGGTTAGGATGAGGGATTGGTTTAGGGTTTGTTGCATGTAATTATACATAATTTACGTAACATAAGAAAAAAATTAAAGTATTACCAACCAAAAAAATATATGACTAGCTTTATAAAATATATTATATACAATTTATGTATGTATAATTTAATATAATTTATTGATATAATTATACATAATTTATGTAACATGTAATATGTGTATATTACTTATGTAACAAGGAAAAATGAAAGTGTTACCAAAAAATATGTATATGTATATCTTCAAAATAGGCTTCAAAGTAGGCTTTTTGGCAATTTCTTTATTTGAAATGATATATACCCCATCTCAAGAATACTGTAAAAAGACTGAAGAGTAATGCTGAGTTGAAGATGTTTATCAGTTTCACTGTTCTCTTTGCTCATTGCTAATTGAATGGTTGTATTCTAATCCTCAGAAAAAGAGTCCTGCTCTAAGCAGTATGAATCACCTGATACACAAAGACTGCAGCCCTTAGGGGCGCACATGCAAATGAGACCAAATCTTCTTGAACCAGGAGCGATAATGAGTGCGAGAGGAAAAAACAAAGACAATCCACTCCACACAGTCGGCCCCCATGAAAACAATGTCAAAACAATGATGGCACCAAAGCGAGAAATAAGACTAAGCAAACTGCACAAATCTGTCTGTAACGCTTTAGTTCCTTTACCATCAAGACTAAGCATTAATGTATTATATATATAGGTTATAAGTTCGAAACATGTCAACTATGATCCTTTCAAAGCTTTCAGTCTCTTATAGTAGTGCCATCTGATTGCTGTTCATCAACTGCGTCAACTAGCACTGCAGTAATAACTACCTTCCAGACACCTCATTAGTGTAACAGCTTGTGCTCTCCATCAAGGCTCAGAGCGACACTTTCTGTCAGACAACAAGCACTTAGCAGTCCAATATTTAAAAAAAATGGAATTTTAAACACCTTTCACACTTTTCATGCATGTCGTATAATCTAATAATGAATCTAATTACTATGAGATGTCATAATAATGATTAATAAAGCAAAGAGTAAAATACCAACATGCACGCTAGGTATGAAAGAGCCAGCGGTGCTCTGAGCAGGTAGTCTTTGTGATAACGTTGACTGTCTTTGTTAGCGCTTCTGTAGCTGCCATGGGGAAAACAAGTAATATTGCACTTTAACAGGTAATTGACCCAAGACCTCAATATCCTTTGCGACTGATATATCAGCTCATATGATCGCGGCTTGTAAATTGCACTGTCAAGTACAGAAAAACTCATTAAAAAGATGGGGAATAAAACTAGTGTGGAGTAAGGTCTGTTAAGTTTCACTTCAAAACATTGCCCTTAAATGATCAGTATAACTTTATAGCTTTTAAACACTGGTAAAAAACATTATTAAAGGTTTTAATAAATTTTGCAGCACTACTGAAAATGTAGAATCTTTAAAAGGAAAGCATACATTTACACAGATTTCTATGATATTCTGGATGGGTTGTGATGCTTAGCAAATGCAATGCAATGCAATATAAAAATGCAATATAAAATAAAGTCAAGCGGATAACACTACAATGTTTACATATCACACACACTTCTATGATAAGGCACCTGTATCATTTTGAACGCACTGCTGAGAAACCAAAATCCATATATAAATAACACCTGGCGGTTCCAGCATCATCCATCTCTCAGAGCTCCTTTATTATGTTGAATATCTTCATTTCACGTCCATCATAAAAATAAATCAATAACTAGCCACTAGATTAACCAGGCCCATTATAATTAAAAGTATGCTTCCGGCATGAACAGTTTTAATTACACAGAGACGATGCTCCATTTTCCTTGTTGCTCTTTTGTATGTGAATCCACACCCTCTGTGGTGGCCGCAGGGCGAGTGTTACCCAGTCCAACGACGAGTCCATATGACTCCACTTACCCTGAGCTAGACGGGGTGCAATCAGGAGATAATGAAAGGGAAACATCACCTCCTCAGCAGGATGAAAAGAGTCCGGTTTATAAGAGCAAGCAATCATGAGAGCTCGACTGACGGGGCTTTTTCTCTCAAAGTGAATTCTACAGAACAGCAGCACAGTTGTCAGTTACAATAGCATCAACTTCAAGTTAGAATTAAGCAAGTCATGGTGCCACACACTTTAAGCAGCCAGGTGGTTTGCAGTTCTTTTAAGATAGTTTAGCTGGGCTCCCAAGCCAGGCCATGCTGACGTCTAAATGGTTTAACTAGTCAGCCAGCTCGGCTCCCATCCCAATAAAATAAGGATGCACCAATATTAAACATATGGCTGAAATAGATTAATTGATAATTAGTTTCATGTTATGGGAAATATTTTTTATCCTCATTATGCCATTTTGCACACTTATTTGGGCAGTACAAAGCAGACAGAAAGCAACTGGGGACTCGAACCTGGATCATGTTATGGCAAATAATTAATAAATGGTATAAAGTCTATATTATTTGATCTAAATTAAAAATAAATC